TATCATTTGAAATGAAAAGTGAACTTTCTTTATGTCAAGAATTAACTTGGGAAAAATGGAGAATATCTGCAAAGATTCCAAATGAATTATTAATATATTCTAAAGTAGAATATTTTAAAAAACTACTTCTATTGATTAGTTTATTATTAATTTTGTTTTGGATATTCTTTTTTAATCAAATTGATCAACAATATTTCATTATTTGTTTATCATTTATTATCTGTTTTTTCATAGTTCAAATATTTGTTAATAAGACAAAAACAAGAACAAAAATAGATTTACCATTATTAAATTTTGATGATTAAGATTAAAGATTTTATATGTGATTGTTGAAAATCAAATAAATATATTTATTGAATAATAATTTGTATCTTTGCATAAGAGATTAAATATTATAAAGAATCGATTTCAGTGGCAATACTAGAAGAACCATTATTTGATACTCATCGCCCTTCTATTAATTGTCAGATTATTAAAAGACAATAAGAGTTTTCCATTTAATTAACGATTAGTAACGATAAAATAAAATTTAATATAGATCAAATTTCAAAACGAATATATCAATTAAATTTATTGTTTTTACTTAATGACTATTCTCAAAAAATATTTTATGTGATTCCTAGAATTGATAGAGTATTTGAAATTATGACTACATGAATTTCTCTGTCTACGACAGTCGTTTTCAGCGTATATGCTGTGGACAAAGGATAGGTATAAAATGGATATAACTTATCAAGGACATACCCAGGACGATGGTTCCTGAAGCAGGATTCCGTGAATTTTCGGCAAAATCCCCGAGGAAACTTGCCATTTCTGGGCGGAACCCGCTCGGAAAATGCCAGGAATCCGATGGCAAAGTGAGGTAACCGTATCTGGTTGCCGGTTTTGACATGGTCCTGTCGGTTCCGGCTCAAACCAGATAAATCCAGTCACTGGATCCGTTCAACAGGATTGCTGCTTCCATGAAATCTTCGGAATACCACGTAACCGGCCGTTTCCGCGCCGGATTATTCGACCTGGGATGTGATAACTATCGTGATATCAATCCCTCGATAGATATTTCTTTTATAAATTAACTAGTTTTTGCCTTTCAGTTTCTTTTATATACACTCCGATAACACAAACGTCTTGATTGATTCGGTAATGATTCGTTTCTCTTAAATTATAATTTATTTATATGTTTATTCTTAGATTAGTAAAACATGGAATTAAAGGATGACTACGAAGAGGAAGTAAGAGTTCAAATAGAATCATATTAAAAGATTTGTTTTTTGTTAGGTAACCAGTAGCATCTTCTGCATACGTAATATTGAACAGCGTCTAGAAAAAAGCTCAACATCAATTAAACGATTCACAATTATCTGAAGCCCAATACGAAAGTGTGTATGAAAATTACACAATACTCGAAGCAATGAAAGCAGCCGATTAATATAAGCAAATATATCGGTCAAGTTTTTCATTCCCAGATCAGAAGGCCCATTGTAAACGTTTTTATGTCAGGACAGAGATTGGAGATTGTCAGATCCTTCAAGTATCTTGGTTATACTCTGACTGACAAGCTCTCTCTACACGCGACAGTCAACACATGCCTTGAGAAGACCCAGACCGCCTCGAACAAACTGAAATGGTTAAGATCGGATCGTACCATAGCCAAGGAAGTACTCAGAAGATGCTTCTTCGCCTACGTTTTCCCTCATTTAGCATGGTTTTTTCCCTCTCCTTCTCAAAACGCAACAAGAATCTCACCGTAGGAAACATCGTGTAGCCTTAAGATTGATCCATCGCGCCCCTTTTGTAAGTGAGAAAGATCTCTTCGAACTGACTGGAGAAGTCCTCCTAGATAGCTACGTCAAAAGATATATAGAGAAGAGATTGAAAAATCTCTACTCAACAGATCTTGGTACCTCTCTCTTCCTAGAAGATATATTCTTCTGGGATACTGTTAGCTCGCTTAGACGAGCTTGCAGATATTTATTTTCAAAAGGAGAAAGTCACCCCTAACATACACATATACACACATATTTATATCGAGAAAAGAGAAAAATAGAAGAAAGAAGAGAGAGAAAGAAGAGAGACGAACCCCCCTAACAGATACTTTTAATAGAGAGGGAGTAGTAGGAATAGGACGCTACGCAAGTATGAAAAGAGTGAAAAACATGAAAATCAGGCACCAATCGCAGCTGCTATTGTGGCTTGATTTTTTAAGTAAATAGTGATCGTGCGTAGTTAGGACCGCTCGTTGTCACGCTCACCCCACCCCTCTACCTCGCATCGGCTATAGGTTCGTTCAAGAGGTTGTGTTGTGTACTTTCCTCCCTATTTTGTCTATCATATCCCTGTGCGCGTCATTCTGTTGGTTGTACAAGGTTTCTAACCTTTTTTGATCCCTCACTTTTGTTACCCCTTAGTGTGCTCTTTTCTGTTGTTGTGGTTTGTGTCCTTTTTCCGCTGTATTTTATAAATCGTATTTAAAAAGTGTAAGCACTCAAGAATGTTACACAAATAAAGCGGTAACAAAAAAAACATTCATATATATATTCCTTGTTGACACCAGTGAACAACAGAATGATTGAACGTATTAAGAGAAAGGTCACATCTATGTATCGTACAATGAAGTTACGGAAGAATATTATTTTATTTTTTGACAAAGGCTCCGGACAGACTGAAAAAAATCAGTCGAGTTAAATTTGATTTGACGAATAAATCGTCGAGAATAGACGGTTCATTTAAACCAATTTGGTTACATTCATCTATAAAATCGCCAACATTTATTTCATCATTAGATAAGAATAAGAATATTTCTGATGCATCATTTACTTATTCTTCAAATAATATTTGATGGAAATCAGAAATAATAACAAGAAACAAATAAGACAATTATTGTCTATTCACATATTATTAAGGTTGATCAAATAACAACTGAATGGTTATCAAGAACTGAGTCATTATCATTCGAAATGAAAAGTGAACTTTCTTTATGTCAAGAATTAACTTGGGAAAAATGGAGAATATCTGCAAAGATTCCAAATGAGTTATTAACATATTCTAAAGCAGAATATTTTAAAAAATTACTTCTATTGATTAGTTTATTATTAATATTAATTTTGTTTTGGATATTCTTTTTCAAACAAATTGATCAACAATATTTCATGATTTGTTTATCATTTATTATCTGTTTATTCATAATTCAAATATTCATGAATAAAACAACAAATACAAAAATAAATTTATGATTATTAAATTTTAATGAACAAGATTAAATGTTTTTATATGATATTCTGATTTGTTTACTATTAATAAACAAAATAAAGATATCAGTCTATTCTGAATTCGTTTTGTCATAAATAACTGATGAATTCTAAGAGTATGAAATATATTTTCATGGAAGATAACACAAAATTTATTATTCAATCTTTATATGTAGATATGTAAATCTTTTCCGGAAGATGTCATAACCAGCCATTCAGCTACGATTGAGGGACATCGAAACGTTTTCTTTTTTTTTCAATAAGGATTTGACCGTACAATCAGCCTATCACAAGAATCTTTACTTGTTTCATCTCACTTTCTCATCTATTGTGCTTATTTTGATGAATAGTTTAGAAATATTTATGTTTTTTTCTTTTAGATTAAATATCTAATCAATCATGGTAAATACTAAAACAAAGAAAGGTGAAAGTGGCAGCAGTAAAAAACAAATTACAAATGAAGTTGTCACTCGTGAATATAGTGTCAATTTACATAAACGATTACATGGCGTGTAAGTTAACATAAAACTATTACATAAATAATTTAATTTCGATTTTCAAATAGAGCATTTAAAAAACGTGCACCACGTGCAGTTAAAGAATTAAAAAAATTCGCTGAAAAAATGATGAAAACACCTGATGTTCGTATTGATTCAAAATTAAACAAGGAAATTTGGTCTCAAGGAATTAAGTTAGTTCATTTATTTATTTTATGAATAAATCAATGTATTTATTTAGTCATGTTCCATACCGTGTTCGAGTCCGTTTAGCTCGACAACGTAATGAAGATGAAGATTCACCACATAAACTTTATACATTGGTTACATTTGTCCGAGTACCATCATTCAAAGGTTTGTATTTACTTTTCAGTTATTTCTATCAATGTGTTTAATTGTTTTTGTTTAGGATTACTTACAGCCAATGTTGACAACGAGTAAACAAAAATTTGCCTAATACTAGCAACAAGTTTTACGTGCTTTCTTTCTATCTTTCTCTCTCGCGTTGTTTTCGTTACTAAATAAAATCAACAAGAAGGATATTTAAAACATAATTAAAATTGTTTTGCAAACTCTAAAATACGATGTTTATGTCAATGTGAATATATCGTTATAGGAAGAGAAATTTTTATATTCACTCTTTTTTTTTGGCTATACCTAAAAGACTTGAAATTATAGATGAAATATTTTGCAAGTTATGAATTTTCGACTTCGGATCTGCTAATATGTGCGTGCGGAAAAAGTTATTGAACGAGTTCTCCATTTGCTGATCTACTAGTTTAACTTTTTCCTTTGATGTTTATATCTTGATTGAGCAGAGCCTATATCAACATCATCTACGATTTTCATAGAGCTGCATACCTTTCCAGGTCAAACTCATTCTGTCGAATCTTATTGTTAGATACCATCATTATTTCGTTAATTTTCAATATCGGATCTAGTGAAATCCGACTAGATTCTTCTTTTTCATTTATATTCATCTTGATTATGAATTTGATGAATTTAATAAAATCAATTTTTCATCTTGTCTGAAAATAATCTGTTGCTGATATATGAAAGAATAAACATTGGAATTAAAACTATATTGATATAAATATTAAAGATAGAGTTATTCTATCTAAATAAAATAAGATCCATCATCATACGAATATCTATCAAACGTGAAGGATCTCTTTAGTTTATTTAATGAAAGAAAAAAAACTAGATACACACTGAGGACAATCGATGAAAGCGGAAGGGATGAAAGAATACTGATTCAATTTAAATATTTGAATGAAGGCCAATTATAACCATCAATCAATGGATCTTCAGGAAATGGTAAATTTTTCTTAACACTAAAAGAAAAAAGGAAGAATTCATTTCATACATTGAATAGAAAATAAAAATATTTACCGATGTTGATACATAAATTGATGACGTAAGATCTATAATAACATTAACTTTATTATTTAGTTTAATTAAATATTAAATCTATTTACTCGTTTTTCAGCAAGCATACATTCTCGAACATCATCTTTTTCATCTTGACATAGATATCGATGAGAACTTGGCATCTATATTAGAATATTTTTTTTATTAGTAATATTAATAATATTCTTAAAGATATACCATATGAGTGCACATTCTATATTGTTTAAATATTTTACCACATCCATGATCACCTATACCCATAGCCCAAGGTTCAAGAGCCATATTAAATGGTGTATAATAAACACCAACAGTTGGTGATGGATCAACACCTTTACTTCGATACCAACGTCGATGCCAACGAACAAATGGATTAATTACTTCAATAGGTTGAGTATCTTGATTATAAACAAGTTGTTGTTCTTGTTCATCTTCTTGATGACTACGAAAAGCTGTTTCTGCTTCTGGTGAACCAGCGTGTGGCATTGATCGACCAGAATCTGTATAATGACCAATTAGGCGTATTAATGCAGGCATTTGAGCAACATATGGCCGAGTTGGATAGGAAAGATTAGCAGATAGAAGAGGAGTTTTTGACTCCTTCTTCTTATCTTCTTTCGAATCTTCGACCATTCTAATAGAACTATCTGAAACAAGTTAACAAAAACAGTTAACATTCAGAGAACTTTCTCTGAAAGATATTTTTTTATTTTTTTATTAGAAATCATCAACTGACAAATCTTTAACACGATCTTTTCGACGATCAAATTTCTTTTTAACAATAGAAAGAAATTCATCGGCATTCGAAGTTGATGATTTACCATTACTCATTTTTGCATGACGTCTAAAAATATTCATTAGAATTATTTTTTTAAATAAATAATTGCTTACTTTTTCTTTGGTGGACTTGGTAATACGTCTTCATCATCATCCTCATCATCTTCATCGGTATCATCTTCTTCTTCTTGTTCCATTTCATCCTCTTCTTCGTCATCTTGTTCTTCCTCTTCTTGATTCTCTTCAATTTCATCATGTTTTCTTTTCGTTTTAATTTGAAAAAGTTCTTCTTGTTCTTCTTCATTATCGCTCAAATCTTTTTCCATCATTGATTTGAAATTCTGTTTACCAGCTACTTGCCGATCTGGTCGAATTAAATCTGGTAATGATGATCGACCTGATTGTGAAATCTATGAAAAAAACAAAAATAAATATTTATCATTTTAGAATTCAATAACTAACTTTTTCCTTTTGAGCAATATCTTCTAAAACTTCACGTTGTCGCATTGATTTATATCGTCCAAAATGCACAACAAGTGGACTAGATGTTGATTTTTGTTGACTTTGTTCAAGCCAGGCATTCTATTTATTTTAATAAAAAATTATCTTAAGAACAAAATTTCGTTTTTTCTTTACCATTTGTTTGGCATCTTTAACATTTAAACCTGTTTTTTGTCGTCGTTCTTCAATTAATTTAACATTTTCCTGTACTTTTTCTAATAAACCACGGATAACTTTGACAAAATTTTGTACTTTGCATATTTTAATAAATTTTTTACATTTTAATATTAATGGATAAACAAGTTCAGGAAATGTAACATGATGAGCATAATGAACAAGATAAAGCATAGCAAGTTCATAAAATTGATCCATTAAACCATCCTAAACAAAATTAATTTTTATACACGACAAAAATTTATTAATAAACAAACCTTATATGCTCGATCATCCATTTGTAATTTTGTTAATTTTAATGATGTATCAAAATTAATATATTGCGCTTTAAGACTTGCTGTCTTATGACGTTTATTAAAATCAGTTATATCAAACATTTCAAGTAAAAATGGTAAGACAGGAACAAATACAGTTGTTAATTCAGTCAATTTTATTAGAAGACGAATACAATGAAATCGTAATGGATAATAACGAGCTGTTGGTATTAATCTATTTATGTGAGATAAACACAGATTTAAGATCTCATTTATAGTTTTACATCAGTTGAAAATATCTTTCAATATCCTAATCGTACCAGTGGCGGATTTAGGGGTGGGCGATAGGGGCGGTTCTCCCACCCTTCAGAAATTGTTTTTGATTTTTTACAGCAAAAATGAACGAAAAAATAGTTTTTAGCCAAAACCGCCCCTCGCCTACTCAGAAATCGCCGTTCCCTTCCAAAATCCTAGACCCGCTATTAAATCATACCTAATAGTACCAACAATAAGCTCTGTAAGTGGATGAACAAGTTGTTGAATTAATTTTTCTTTATTATTGTGTAATAATCCGATAATATTTGTCCATAAACTTAATGCATGAATAAATTGCCAATTATAAACACCTTGAATATTTTCCTATAAATCGATATTATTTTTTTTATAAAATAAAACTTTTCTATTTACTGCTTTTTTTGTTTGAATAGCTGTACGTAAATGAACGGCAAGTTGTCGAAGAAAGACAAAACCATGTTGATATGTAACTGTTGGATCAAGTGAATAAAGTTCAACTAAAGATCGTTGCATAAAATTAATTAATGGAAGTGTTGTTGGTGATGTAAATTTGCAATTTTTTAAATAATCCAAATACATTTTCTATTTACAAAAATTAAAAATTATATATTTAAAATCATAATAAATAAATTTACTCTTAAAACAACGCCCATCATTTCTTTTCGATGTTCACGTATCAAATGAAATAAACAAACAAAAGCAATAACACGACTACGTTCATCTGATGCTGTTGACCATATATTAATTAATTCCTAAAAAAAAACCATAGAAAAAATCTTTTTCCTATATTTTAATTTACTTTAACAAGTGCTTGACGTGAATTTGGTAAAACAATAACAAATGGAATTAACGAACGAACATGACGAAGAAGAATATTCAATGTAACTGGAACATTAATCATCGATATGAGCTAAATTTTTAATTTAAGAAAATATAAAATATTTGTAAGAAGAAAAAAACAAACTCGTGTAAAATTAAGTAAATATTTTTTCATAACATTTTCAATATATTTCCAATTTGCACTTGTTTCTGGTTTTAATTTACTTGTCGTAACAATTTTTATACGAAGAAATTTATAAATAGCTGGTAATAATTGTTTAAGACATACACGAACAATTGCATTAAATGCTAAAAATAAGAAATTAAATTTTCAAAAAGAAAAAATAAAACAAAATTCATACATTCAGGATCATCGATTGCACCAGTTTTTATTTGTTTCTTTTTCTTTTTTTTATCCTTTGAATCCGATGTTATATCAGCACTACCATAAGCAGATTGAACTGCTAAACCAAAAGCACGTATGATATGTCGAATTGTATTTAATGTTGGTTGAGTTTTCTAAAATTTTCAAAATAATATTTTTATAATCAAATAAATCAAATTTTACTTGAAGTTGACTACTCCATTTTTCAATCATTTCAACTGTAACTTGTTGTCGTTCTTCTTTACTTTTTGGTTCACCATCTTCACCTTCCTAAATATTTTATATAGATTTTCATTTTTCTGTAAAAACAAATAATCGTACTTCATCAGATAGAGGTTCCATTTCCTCAAGTTCTTCAGGTAGCTGATGAAGTTGTTGTTCTGGATCATCATCTGGAATTGAATCAGCATCATCAACATCAAAATTAAGTAAACCAGCATCTTCTTTTTTTAAATATTTGTAAAATTCTGGATCAACTGTTGCTAAATCAGCTAAATCCTGTTTATGTTGATCGAGTGGTGAAACTCCATTCACTTTTGTCCTAAAATTATTTGAAAAATAAACATCAAAATTTACTAACAAAAATATGATTTACTTTTTCGTCTTCACTGCTGATTTTTTTGTTTGTGATTTCATCTAAAAGAATATATCTGTTTATGATTTTGCATCTATTCACAGTTGTTTATCTGTTCAAAATATAAATGAATGTTACTCTTTTCATTAATCTGACGTATGCACACATGAAATATACATAGATAAAAAAAGGAGAAGAAGAAGAAAATATTAAGAATTAAGGAGTAAAATTGACGGAAAATTGTTGAAATGGTTGTAGATTGTATTGTGCTATAGAAGCAAGTAACCATTCAGGTTTAACATAAGCTGTATACAATTGATCTTTTTGTTTAATTTCATTACATAATACAATTATAGTTGATGATTGATTAGAATTTAATTCATCAACTATTGTTCCACTACAAAGATAAATAAGTTCACGAAGTGCACGATTATCAGCTAGAATAGCTGGACATGCATGTTGTTCAGGACATTCTAATAGAAATGTAATGCCCTGAAAAAGTCCTTGTGAACGAGGAATACGTGAACGAAGAAAACCACCATGATAACCATATGTTGGATCACCTAAAAATATTTCATAGATTTGTGATGGAACAATAATTTGATGTGTTATTGATGCAACAAGCCATTGAATACTAATTATTGGTAAATGACGAGCAGTTGCTTGTATAACTTTTAATGTCAATGGACAAACAAGTGGAGTATTCTCGTCTAATGAATCAGTTATTAAATGAGTTGTTGTTTCATCAACTGTATTTGAATAACGAACATTAAATTGAGAAATAAATTGTTCAAATATGATCTAGAATAAGAAATAAATAATTGTGTTAGTCGAAAAAAAAAATTATTATTTACTTGTTGTTCAGCTTTGAGACTAGATTTTGCAAGAACCATAATAGTTGGTGATGATTCTTCAACTGTCATTGTTTGTTTTGATACTTTCGTTGATCGAATACTAACAGGTGCTGATTGAAATTTCGTACTTGTATCCACAAGAAATTGTCGTGTTTTAACTATTTGTTCGACACAAGCACATACTGTTAAATCTCGACATAGGACATGTTGTTGAGATATGAGATCTGATTGATATTGAATACCAATAGAAACAAGTTCAGGATTAATAGAATCTGTTTGTATTGTTTGATTTGTTGATCCAATTGATCCTGTTTGACATTGTTTTTCTTGACATGCTGGACGAGAGAAATTATCTGTTTGTGTATCGATTGATGTTGCTGTTGTTGTTGGTGGCATTTGAGGACTTGGTGGATGTGTGGAATCGAAAATATTTGTTGGATTTGGTGATGCTGATGGAGCAGGAAGAGCAAATGTAATTCGAGATGCTGTTTTTATTTTAACAGCTATAAAATATAAAAAGATATCGACTTTTTTTTTGTTATTCGAAAATAAATTTACGTGAACTACTCTGAGCTGGTGCAACGACAACATCTTGTTTTGCAGTAGCTGATCGAGAGAGAATCGGTGATGGTAATGCTGGTTGATGTGAACGAAGACTTTGAATTTTTTCACCAATTTTTGAATTATGTTCATTGATTTTTTTATGATTTTGTCGAATTCCTAAAGAGAAAGATTTCGAAAAGAGAAAAAACATAGAAAAATAAATTTACCTGGTCCTTCAATATATAATTTTGATTGTTCAATAAGACGTGTTTCTTCATTTTCTTCATCTCCTGTTGTACAACCATCTGAACTTCCAGCTGAAGATTTTCCTAACATAAAAAAAACAATTTAATAATATTATTAAAAAGGATATCTTTAATTTTACCAATAGGTGTTTTTTTAATTCTTTTATTATTATCTAAAACAGCATTTCGTCGAAGTTTTTTCGAAATAGGTTCTTCTAATTGTTGTTGTTGTTGTTTTGATAGAATTGTTTTTCGTTTATTTGTAACTGGTTTTTTTCTTGTTCGAATTTCTTCATCATTTTCTGTTTCATCATCATCTTCTTCAGCAGCAGCAACAAGAGTTTTTCTAGTTTTCGATCGTTGTTTAACATTTTTATTTATTGATGTCGATTTTTTGTCTTTTTTATTCATATTTTTTGTTAAATTAAGTAATTGCATATCTTCATACGTTTGATTTTTCTCTTTAAATATTTGTTGAAGTGTTAAATTCGTTGCTGAACGAGTTGAAGTTGTTGTTGATTGAATCGCAGGCGAACGACGAAGAGGTGTACTTGTTAAAAGCATCGTATCAATTAACGAAGGACGCGTTATATTTGATGATCCTGCCTTCTTTCTTATTGATGATGAGGGCATTGATTATGCTAAAAAACGTTTTTCTTTTAAATATTAATCGAATATGTACAATAAAAATAACGAGATAGAGGAAAGAAAATAAACAAGTATATTCAATGGCTAAATTCTATAACCAATAAAAAATAAAAGATAGAGTGCAGTACAATCTATGTTATTGTGAGAGAATTTTTTTTTGTGTTCCCTGCCAACTTGAGAATCAACATATTGCTATGCGGTTTACTTCAAACGATCTGTTTTGTTTTTTCTTTTGACAATATAATAATGGGAAATAAACCTTTAACGAAACTTCGGCCAACAGAATTAAATGATTTTCGTCGATTAACAACATTTACCGAAGCTGAAATTCGTATGTGAAAAAAAATCTTCCTAAATTAAATAAAAGAATTTTTTTTTGATTTATCGTAGAAGAATGGCATAAATGTTTCCATAAAGATTGTCCCAGTGGACAATTAACTTCGGATGAATTTAAAAAGATTTATGCACAGTTTTTTCCTGCAGGTGATTCGTCTGTTTTTGCTGAACATGTTTTTCGACGTTTTGATACTGATCGTGATAAAAAAATCTCGTTTCGAGAATTTCTTATTGCATTAAGTGTTACAGCAAAAGGTAGTTTAGAAGAAAAATTAGATTGGGCATTTGGACTTTATGATACAAATGGTGATGGTTATATATCAAGAGAAGAAATGCTTGTTATTATTGATGTATTATTAATTCATATGTATATATAAATAATTAAAATTAAACATTTATTTTTTCTAGTCGATTTATAAAATGGTTGGTTCTGTTATGCAAATGCCCGAAGATGAATCAACACCAGAAAAAAGAACAAATAAAGTAAAATTAATATTTTTTGTAAATAATAAAAATCAGGATGTGTATTGTCTTTATAGATTTTTCGATCATTTGATAATGATCATGATGGAAGATTATCTCGTGTTGAATTTATTCGAGGTAGAAAGAACTTTTTTCTTTTATTTGAAATATTTTATTGAAATTTGTCAGGTGCCAAATCCGATCCGTCCATTGTTAATTTATTACATGGTGATAGAATTTCAACTGTTCACAATCCATCATCAGACAATACTCCATCATCATCAGTAGCTCGTCTTCGTACTTAATCATTGAAATAATTTTGTATCTCATCTGTCTTCCATTTTCTTTTTTAAATTTCATTCCACAAAAAACAAAACACACATATATATATGTATAGAAGGATAAAAAGCTTTTGTTTTATTGTCAAAATATTGAAAAAAAAAAGAAATGAAATAATAAATATTCAATTTGATTAGACTACAGTTCGTTGTCCAACTAATGTCACCGTATTTCCAGAGAATATTCCATATTTTGATAGTGCACGACCACTTGATGATGAATTATGATGATGAAGACGTTGACCACGAAAATAAACTAATTGTTCTTCTAATGGTATACGAAAGACTTCACTTAAAACATTTCCAAGATCACCACAAGTTGGTTCTTTTTCTGATTTTAATACAATATCTTGGACATCACCACCAAAATG